ATTTTCAAGGTTGAAATATATTAACTGATAACATGTTTTTTGAAAATGAAAACCTTATATAAATAAATACATACATACATACATACATACATACAACAATTTATTTCTTGTTAATATATTTTAACCTTGAAGATGGCTAAATGTATAGCCAAAAGCATTAGATAAAAAAGAACAATTGGACAGTTTTTATATAATTTATCCACCCCAAAAAAAAAAATTATTAGATCACATGAGAAATTGTATAAAAAAAACTAAATCGAAGCACCTTGTCTGTCGTATTCAATGAGATGTGCATGAAAGGATTGCTGCCTAAATATGAAAATATATATATATATATATATATATATATATATATATATATATATATATACATACTATTAGTAATAAATATACATTTTTTTTCCTTATATAATATACCAAATTGTGTGGGGAAATGTGTATTTACTATTAATAGTACAAATTGTGTTATTATTATTAATAGTGTAAATCTTAGCTGTTATATTACATCAAGCACTTTTATTACAAGCAACACTCATTGTGCAATATTTTATACTTATATAGTCCTAATAGTTTGGAGATTTCTAAAGACTAAATGTAGATTATTAGTTTCTGACTTCTATTCTGTTGTATCCTTAAAGAAGGTTACAAACGGACAAAAGGTGGTACTTGAGTGAAAGGAACAGCAACATGGACGTAGATGAAAGAAAGAGAGGTTTATTGTAAAAGAGAATACACTATTGAAAGACAGGGAACTGGTTAGCAGGCGAGTAATTCCCGAAGCAAGTCTGCTAGGTATATCCTGTGCTTACAATATATATATATATATATATATATAAAATCTAATCTACAAGTAGGTATATCAATTTAAATTTAAAGGTATTCAGCTATTATCTCTTAGTAATAACAACCAAATGATGAATATTACCAAAATCAGAAAACTTATGGAAAATACCTTTTCATATATTCTAAAAATTTGAATAGATTAGAGGTATATGAGTATTTATATAAATTTTGTTAGAAAGGATGTTGTTTTTCTTACATGTACCTTCCCAACCTTCCTAGAGTGTCAGTTGTTGAATCCTAATTTGGAGGTACATGTACTTACACACACACACACACACACTGCTATTATGTTCTTAGAGCCACCTCCCCTGACATCCATGTTGGCCATTGTAACTGTTCTCTTATGTGTAGATGTTATTAATCAAGAAGCAGCAGACAATGAATTTTGGATTGTTTTTATTTGTACTCACGTTATTAAAATGTTTTTAATCAATAGATATAAATCTGAAAATCAATGTTCAGCTTTTGTATATATAATTTAGTTTTCAAAATGTAAGAATGAGGAATACTAGTAGTAACCTTTAGTAATTATAATTGTTTTGCTTAACTTTTATTGAATCCTTTTATTTTTGCAAGCATTAGATTAACTTTTTCCAGATCTAATGATACAATGTAAAATCAAGTAAAATATCTATATTATTTTTATTCTTTTCTAATTGTGCCTGATCCTAACCTTTCTGATGTGGAATTTGACTTTCTGGCAAGAAAGCTATTTAATATTATTAACCTGGAAGGAATTGGTGGAAAGTAAAGGAGATAAGGTGGGAAACAAGGTGTAAGAAAGGAAAGGTAGGAAGAATGCTAAAGAAAAATTAAAAGGAAACCAGATGAAAGGAAAAAATGAATACATAGAAAGCTGGGGAAGTTATGGAAATTAAAGAAAATCAGACAGGCTTGCTAATCTGTTTATATAAGATTTAGATAAAAATAATAGGTAATTGGAAGTGATAAGGTAGAAAATAAGATAGTTAAAGTATGAGTGAATAATAGAAGCCTTTTTTTGTGTCATTTTTGTTGCAGCTTTATTCCAGAAGTTCAGTGCTATCTATGTAGTGCTAAAGTTTTTAGTTCAATCCTTTCTAAGAGATTTTCAGGATCATCATTTTTTTGTTTTTTTTTGTTTGTTTTTTTGTCTGATGGTTCACAAATTAACATTGATAGAAATTAGTGTAGGATTTGATTATGGTGACAATATTAAGAAAATTATTCATGTAACAATATGATTTATTATCAACATTTTTTTTAAATTCATTTTTTATATCAGCATGTACTCTTAAGAAAAATTGCTTAACAAATGGTATGGGAAAAGAAACTAACATTAAAATGTAAATGAATAAATTGGGATCATCACATTTGACTTTAGTGAGTTTTTATGTGCAAAGTCCTTTCAAGGTGTAAGTGATTATGGCCCTGCACAATGTCCTGTCTTTTGTTGACCCAAGTAATTTTGGGTCCTTTACCATCCCTTGTCAAATCTGGATAATATTTATATATTATACCTTTAAATTCCTTGCAGAACATAGAGCCACAAGATATCGTTGTGGTTTTTATAACAAGTCAGTTTTTTTTTTTTAAGTGAATAGGTTGTTAGCCTACTGCACAACCCCCAACCTGGAAGATCAGGTTTTGAATTCAGAGTTGTCCTTCTCCATGCCAGTTGCCACCCAAGGCTATAGAACATGGTCTGCCCTGCTATTTACCCATAGCTGGGGGGGGAGAAGAAGATTCATATCTTTCTCAAGTGTATTAGCACCTAAGTGAATGTTATGGATTTGACTGGAATTTGAACTGAGCTTTCCGATTCCTCAATCCCAGCCACTATCCATTAATCCACCATGCTTCCAACATGGATAAACAAGCCTGTAATAAGATGGAGTGTCAAAAGTATGATTTTCTCCACGACACCACATTTTAACTACCTTCACTCTTTGGTAATGTTTATTTCAAAAAGCAAGGATTAGAATTGTAATAAAATGTAAACATATGAAAATGAACTTATACATTTTCTTTGTTCTTGAGAATTGACAACAGAAATAATAAACACTATTTATTTATTAGATTGTTTATTTACAATATTTATTTATTTATTACATTGTTTATTAGAATAGTTGACAAAACATTGGCTAATTCAAACTTTATAAAATGGTAAATAAGGATTTCATTATTGTTGGTTCACATATTTTAATAATTTAGTAAATGTTTATAAATTTATAAATAAAAATTTTAACATTTATTTCTTTATAAATTTGTAAATGATAAATATTACATTGCATTAGTTTTAATTGTATTAGTTTTTAGAATGTGAATATAAAATTATTCTTTTAAATATACAATCTAATAAATAGTTTTTAATATTTTTGTTGTAAATTCTCCAGATGAAAAAAAAAATGTATAGATTCACTTTAATCATATGTTTAGGTTTTATTCCAATTCTAATCATCACTTTTGAAAACAAACATTGCTGAGGAGTGAAGGTAGTTAAAAAAGAAAAAAGCAGTATCATGGAAAAAAACTGTCATTTTGACCCTACATTTTATTGCAAGCATGTTTATTCATGTTTGCTAATCCCTCTTTGTTGCTGTTTTTGCCATCCATTCACAAGCTGTTTCCCTTTATTTCTGTTTTCAATAGGTTTTCTGAGTGTTAAATTCTCAAAGCCCTCTTTTCTCAGTCACTTCAATTGTCGCCTTTTGATTCTATATATCCTTATTTTTATTTTTCCTAACTTTTTGCTCTCTATAGTAATCTTAGCATTTGTTGGTAGAACTACATTTCTGTCCCTCCAGTTAGGTTGCAGCAGATAAAATTTGAATAAGATCAATCATAAAATATTATATACTCATTCTAAGTAGAATGTAAAAAATATCTTGGTATCTTGAATAGTACTTATTCTTTAAAGATTAGCACTAGTGTTTAGGGATCACAGTAGAGTAATGGATAGTGGCTCGGATTGAGGAATCAGAACTGAGTTCAAATTCCAGTTAAATCCATTGCATTCACTTATGTGCTAATACCCTTGGGAAAGGTATGAATCTTCTTCTTCTCAAGCTATGGTTAAATAGGACAGACTAGGTTCTATAGCCTTAGATGGTAATTGGTCTACCGCAGAAAGAAATGGCAACCTGCTGTGGGGAAAAAAATCTGTCTCATCAGTCATCTATTCAAAGATATATGACCACTTAAGCATGTATCATGTATAGCAGATAACTGACTAGTGATTAAGCAGTAATATTTTTATGGTGAGTCATGTTTAATTACATTGTCATTACAAAATAAAGGAATACACAGATTATATTTTTATTTTTTAGCATAACCATTAGACTTTCAGTATGCAATATGAAACACTTTTGGTGTATAGTTTATGAATAACACAAGGCTGAAAATCACAAAATATACAAATTGCTCTGACACTATTTTAGACAAAATCTCATTTAGACTGAACATAGCATCATATCTAGAATAGAAAGTAGCCTGAATGAATTATATCAAGAGACTGACATACATATATATATATATATATATATATAGAATATGTTTATTTTGTTTTTGAGTTCATTAGACAAATCATGCCAATGCTATACCATCATAAAGTTGGAAATTTAGCCAAAATACAATGTGTGAACTTGGACAGGGACAACTATTTTTTGATTAGTGCATTGAATTAATTTAAATTTGGAACACGTTTAAGTGTAGAATTATCTTCAGTATAATGTTTAAATAAAAAGTAAACATTTCCAAAAATGTGACACAACTACAAAAGTACATGTAGAATTAAATCTTAGTAAAGTCTGAAAATCCCTCCCTGATCCAAAATGCAATGAGTTTTGTTCTAGACCATACCTATTCGTACAGTTTTTAAATGCTGTATATTTTAGTTGAAGGTAGTTTGGACTAAGAATAAAAAAACATATGTTCTGATGATGATGATGATAATGTCTTTTTAAAATGATCATCATCTCTGATTGTGGAAGAGTTCTACTGGACAAGCCATCTAAAAACTCATTTTCCTTTAAGGTTAAAGAGCGCCTTCTCTATAAAATAGATGATTCTCTCTGTCTCATCTTTAAACATAACATTCATTACTTCCCTAATAAAGAAATCTTTAAAGAATAACATGGCAACAAGCTGATCCACTTGTCTGAACTTAATGTATTCAGAAGTGTATCCACCATTTTCTTTTCTTGTTCCTCTTGCGGCTCTTCCTCCTCTTCAATACTGATTTCCTCTTCCTGATATGTATTCAGCTCAATGTCATTGTCACATTCAGGTTGTAAAGTAGTACTGTTCAAATTGAAGTCCTCTGTATTTGTGACATGGTTCACCGTTTTGATAATGATAGCATCATCCAGCCCTGTACATAGTCTTCCAAGAAACACTTATATGATTGACCAAGTCTCCACTCAATTTCAAGAAATCTTTCCACTAAAATACAACTTTCTGGAACCAGATCATAGTTAATTTCTATACTTTCTGGTAATGTACTTAGATGACAATGTGTTAACATCAGTTGATCTTAAGCATGGACCCTAGATTGATTACTGATTTTCTTTCACATGTTAAATGCATTCAAACTTTCTAGTTTTTAAAGATCACTTTGCTGTATAGATTGTATAAATCTGTTAAGAAAACACATCCATGTCTTACTCTTCTTTCTATTCACTGAATTCATTCATTATCTGCATGCAGGTTGTTCCTTTCATTTAGCAGTCATGAATTACTCAAATATCTTTCCCATGTAAATCAAGCTTTGCTAGCATTTCAAGTAGCTCTTTGTGTCATGCTTTATCAAATAGTTTTGTATAATCTCCATAACATAGGTATAGGTCAGGGGTCAGCAGGCATGAAGGATTTCTGTCTGGCCTACAAACTTAACATGTGGACACTAATTATCTAATTAATTTGTGGAGCAAGTAGCACAAAAAATACCAATTGGAGTTAATTGATTTACAATGCAACAAAATTTTTAAATCAAAATTTAATTCTGAATCCATTGCTGATTTCTACAAGAAATGTTTTGCCAAGCAGAAAATATAAAAGTCTATTGAATAATGTGATAATGATGGTATCATTTGGAAGTATATATGCTTGTGAACAACTTTTTTTCAAAAATGAAATATACTAAAAGTCGTTTAAGAACAAGGTTAGGTGATGGCCACCTGGATAATATTTTGCTCCTGTAATCAACAAATATTTCACCTGATGTGGAGAAGTTATCGTACAATAAGCAGAAACACGTTTCATTAAATAATTTGCCATTTCTAACTGTATTTCGTTTGTAGTAAGGAATTTGCATTCTTTGTTATTTGTGTTAGTTGTTATCCTGTTATTTCTTCAGTAAAATAAGGAACCTTGTTTAAATAATATAACATTAACTCCATTGTTTTTTTCTTTAAATCTCCAGACTAAGGCAGCCTTCTGGATGAAGCAGTCTGAGGTTGAAATAATTTATTGTAATACATTTAATATCATGACCCTTCTCAGAGACACTGCATAGCTATCTGGCCCATTCTCTCCAAATGGTTACCAACTTCTGTTATAGGTCTTTCTACATTTTTATTGCTTGCTCTGATTGTAACACTAGGCTGAATAAACTTCATTACTAATTAAAAGTAGAAAGTCATTCAAAAAGCTGTCCTTCTCAGAAAATATAAGCTGATACTTTTTTTTTTTTTTACTTTCATAATAAAATCTTTTATTTTTATTAATACTTTATTTGTACTTGTTAAAATCTTTTTATATTTGATCTACAAATTGTTTGTGGTATCATCAAAACTGTTTCTTAATGTTTCCAGGTGTATATTCTATAGGACATAGTGTATGTATATTTTGCAGGTTAAAAAGTCATATCAAATTGCTTTTTATTGATTTTCTTTCAACCAATTAGAATAATTTACAAAAAGGATAAAATTGTAAAGCATATTTATTAAACAGATACCCAATAGCAAAATTGTTGATAAAATTTTATTAAATTATCCAATTTATTACTTAGTAAATATTACATTAAAATAGCTGTTGCTAATTTCTGCAAGATGTAACCTGATTATAAGGAAATTTCTTGCAGTTTCTAAATAAATTTGAATTATTTTTTAATTTTGCCTAACAAGTATTGATCTAAAAATGTATATAATTTTATTTTCCTCCAACTGAATATTACGCTTAAAAAAGCAATTCTCTAAGGACAAATACAGACATTTCTATCTCTGAGCTTTGCTTGTACACTATCTATTGCATACTCTTATATATTTTGCTTTCACCAAGGCTTTAGCAACTTAAGACACTTTTGATCAATATCAAATTTTTGTGTCCAATTTTAAGTTTTCAGTATTCAAATATATCTAGCATTAAGATCCTATATTTTTATTTTAACTTTATTCACTTGCATTTTACTTTTTGAGATGGATTTGCATTCTCCTTTGCTTTATACTTCCCTATAATATGCACACCATTGTATTTTTGATCTCCTATGCCCCCATACATCTTACAAATTTCACTTTTTCTATCATAACCAATCATAAATATTTATAATAAGCTTTTGTCTCTATTATGTACTATTATTGGTAACCCAGTCAGAGTAGATTAGATTTTGTTCAATGTGCTTCAATTTAATCTTCAGTGTAGCATTTTTATGAATATTCATAGAAAACTTATTGCTTAGATTTTTAGTTGATATAACAGTATTACTAAAGCATTAGTAAGCACTAAATTACAAATTTTAAAACCAAAATTGCATATAATATTTGAATAAGACAGATTTTGTCTTATTTAATGCATAATGTGCTTTAAAAAAATATTGTACTAGTTATAAATCAGTCATCGTACTTTTCAAAGAAATAGTCATAGCAATCTTAATTACTGCTACTTCTGATTATGGCTTTGATGTTTTGTGAGCAATTTGTTAGTTTTGAAATTTCATGGAATCAAATTATAAATGTTAAGTTTTTAGTAAAAATTATTAAAATACATATAAGTTAATTTAACTTGAAAATATAGTATATATTTTTTAATTTTTGTTCATATTCCTTATTTTTAGAAATAAGAGCATAAAATTGAATAAAAATGAATTTTATTTTAAAACATTACTATAAATTCAAAACATTTTTTGCATAAATCTTATTACAACACTCATATAATGGTAATAATTAGTTTGACATAAACTAATGTTATAAAGTGTTAGTCATTCTTAACAGTTATGAAGAATGACTTTTTTTGTATTTTAAATATAATTATTTGGTGGGTAAATTTAAAAATTATCGCATATAATTTCATAGCAGAAAACCACAATTTACTGCACACCAGATTAGATAATGATTTCTCCTAGAAGGTGATGGTGCAGGTTTGAGCCCTACTGGAGAGCATGTTTTCTTTAAGTCTCTCAAATGTGTAGGCTGGTAGATGTAATTTGCACTGTTTAAAAAATGGGATGCCTGCTCAAACGAGTATCTACTAAAATAATTTTTGGAGTAATAAGAAACAATGTCAGATTAAAAAATTTAAAAAAATTCATGAATTCCTTAGAAACCTCTTTTTATGTATTTGTTGTTCTGTTGTGTATTTAAAATTTTCCTATAATTTACTATTTTATTAACTAAAAATCATTTAGAAATTATAATTAAATTTATTTTTGTTTTGTCTATACTATTTATATTTTAATATGAAATTCACAGCATCCCAAAATTTGCAAATTATTTATTGTTTGCTTGTGTTGACTTTGCATCATTCAAAATTTTTTTTTCATGTTAAATCTCAATTTAAAGTAATACTGTTTTGAATTTTGAGATTTTGTCCTGATATTTTTTGTGTTTACTGAAAAAGAAAAGCATTATACATATTTGCATACTGGTTTTAATATACTGAGGTTATTATTCAGACTTAGAGTAAATGCTAAAAGAAAAGCATATTACAGTTGTTCAGAGTGAAAAAATACAAGTATTTATAGATCATTGTCAAATCAGTTCATCACATTTAATTTTTGACAGATTTTGACTTCAACCAAAAATTCTTTGATATTCATTGTATAAATCTCTCAATGTATTTTTAAAAATTTATTCTCTAAGCCAGTTCTTCAAAACTTAAATGACATTATCATTTATTTATAGTTTATTTTGTAAATTACTCCTATGAGTCAAGGATTCCTGAAATCAACTGGATTACATCTGAAAATATAAAAACAAAACAAATATTGTCCATTTTCCCTAAATACATGGCAAAATAAATTAGTTTTGGCATAAAGAGTTGATATGTCATTAAAAATCCACTTAAACTAAATTATGAATCAAGGAAGAGGTAGATGTTAGACTTTGTAAGATAGAATAAATCTATAGTCATGTAATGTATCCCATTCAGTGGAATTGTGTATTACATGAAATAATTATTTTTTTGTTGTACTCACAATTGATTTAACAATGATTTACTGTTTGAGAAAATTTTCATTTTAGATTAAGTTATTGGATATAATGCTGGGAATTGACTGAATTTGATTCAAAATGATTTCTCAGTGGATATAAAAGATTTTATGTATTTCTGATTTCCATTGATAAAATATGTCTAATAAACCATTCTATCATTAGAATTTTAGAGTTTTTTTTTTGGCAAGGATGGTTGCTTCTTTTATCAACTCTATAGTAAATAGTTTAAATATGAATTCAGTTGAAAAATCTCATTTACTTAATGTTTATATCTCATGTGATCAAAGTCATAAAAATGACAAACACCTAAACAACTTTATATAAAACCTAATGTTTATAATACCTGAAATAGAACATTATGATGTTTTTAGTGAGTTGCTGATAGATTTTATTATATATTTTGGAGCTTTCATTAATAATTCTTATATCTTTTTATAAAATTGTTGTTGAATGAATCTATCAATTTTTTAGGATTATTACTAACAAGCTGCTTTATTTTTTTTTCAAACAAGACAGTTTGATTTGTGGCTTTTACCAAAAAAGTATACAACAAAATATTTTAAATAAAATAATAGTTAGGCTCATAAAGGTACTTCTGTGTGCTGTGTCCTTTCAGGATGTGGTAAATCATGACTCTCCACAATTTCCTGTCCTTTGTAGCCTTTAGTAAAATTTATCTTTCTGCTATGTCTCTTAATTCCTGTTCTGCCAACCATTTCTACAAGCTTGTTAGGTGGGTCATGTGCTGCTTTCATCTGTCCCTCTTGCCTTCAATGTATCCTGTGAGTGCCATATTTTCCAAACCCTCTTTCCTTGTGTGCCCTAGAAATTTCAGCTCTTTCTGATGCTATGTATAAGTGTCCTTTTTA